AAAGGTTGAAGTGAAGTTGTCCCAGAAAGGAAATGTATGAGCCTTCCAGATATTACATACTTGCAGACAGCCCCAGACAGGGAAGAACTCTCTGTGCCTGAGGGGCCTAGGAGAGCTGGGGCTGAGGTGTCCTCATGGGAGGGCAGCAGGGGACACAGGAGGAGGTGGGGAGAGCATGATTCTTCCCCTAATGCTATGGGAAAAAACTAAATCCTTCAAGCAAAGTAGTAAAACAATCTGATTTACCTTTTGTAAAAATAATGCTCTATCTGCTATATGAAGAATGGATTAAAAAAGAATGAGATTAAAAGTGTGGAAAGCAGGAGACCATTGCAGAAACCAACAAGATCAGTGGTGACTGGTTTTAGAATGATGTCAGTGGAGGTGGACAAAATTTCACAGGATCAGATCTATTTTGGAAATGGAATCTAAGAAGACTTTGAAATGGACTGTATGTTGCAGAGCAAGGAAGAAATAGCCCAATTTGTCAAATTTCAAATAACTGATGCATGGCAGTACTATTTATGGAGAAGACTGGAAGAGGAACAGGTTGGTAGGGATGATATCAGAACAAGCTTAGCTGAGTATGTCAATGACACATTCTGGAAGGTAGGTGAAACAAGCTTCTTGGTGACAGAGAGAATGCAAGTATGAATCCAGGTGTAACCATATTTACACTGCTTAAAGCCACTGGAAAAGAAATCTCCCTGCCTGGCCAAGATTATAAGGACAAAAGACAAAAAGCACAGGGTACAATAGAGGAAGGGAAATAAGAAATGAGCACTAAAAAAAGAAGTACTCTATAGCGGTGTCTCGGTTCACAAACACTTTTGTTTGCTAATTATTGGGTATGCAAACGGAAGCTTTTGGTAAAATTTGGTTTTTGTTTGCAAACTCTGCATCAGGTGACAAACAATACCAAAGCCTTCTTTCCACAGGAACATGAAGGCGGCAGTCTTTTCCAGAATTGTGGAATGAATTAAGTTAGTGAGGTACCACTGTAACAGAGAAGGAGTAATAAGAGTACAGCTAAAGAAGCCAATAGAAGAGACATACTGACAGAGAGTGTTGACCAACCCAGAAGGTCTAATAAAATGAGAATTTTAGTGTTTGACTTGGTAGGTAGTTGGTTGTGGATTCTTGGCATGATACTAGATGTTCTGGTGAAGAGATATAAGGTGAAAAACAGATGGGAACAGGCTGAAGATAAGATAAGAGAAAATGAAGATAGCATGTGCAGACAACTTTTTGAAAGTCTTGCTGTTAAAGGAGGAAAAGAAATAGCACTGGGCTGCAACTGAAGACAGACAACATAAAGGGAGATAGGAACCATTGAAGAATTTGTGCAAAATGTGAAATTCAGCACAAGTGAGCACCTGTCTTATACTAAGTTCTCTTAGGCTAAAAAAAAAAAAAAAAAAAGTCTGAGCAAGGACTTACATATAGTTTTCTTACACATCCAAAGCCAAGAGTTTGGATGATTGGCTAGGAAGATAAAAATGGGAAGAGGAAAAGCTGATTCAAGACTCTATTATCAAGAGGAACACCAGTAGGTAACTGGGACTCAGTCATGCTAAAGCCATCTAATATATCACGTAGAATACATTCAGAATTGTTCACCTGAGGAATAGAAGAATGGAACTCATCACTAGTCAAGAATTTCCTATGGGGTGTTAACTCCCTAGAACTTCCAGATTTGCAAAGGCCTCAGAATGATTGAATAGATTTCTGTAAGTTCCTCACTTAAAGGACAGAAAATGAAAAGTAGCCAGCATAGCTGAGGCAAGTGTCTGCCAAGTTAAATTGGATGGTAGCTTATTGCCGTGGTAACAACTAGAGTAAAAGTTGGACCAAAGGGATGTGAAGCAGGGCATAGAGACATGTGATATAATGTCTACTTTGATAGTGACAGTCCACATCCTATCTGGCCTAGAGAGATGAAATGATATGTATCTAATTTGTGCCATAGTTGCCCTGCAAGTTCTACTGATTCCTGGCCTGTAGACCTCCCTGCTTCTGTTTAAAACTAATTACCCCAAATAGTAGTGATACTTGACAAGTAAATCAACAAAATCTGGATTTTCATGCATGCTCGGTGACAGAAACCAATTAATCTAGTATTTTGTGAGCCCATACTGTATTCCAAACCTGCACAGTAGAAGAAGATTGTCAGAAAATATTAAATATGGTCCCCGGTTTGAAGTCTCATTAAGGGAATACTGCATAAACACATGGGAAGAGCTCTAAAAATAGTAGAAGACTAAATATGATTAAATAACCAATGTGGAATAGGACTATGTCATGTAGCGCATGTTTAAAGTTATGGCAGGGTTTCTGTTGGGAATGAGTAGAATCTCAGGGGTTATGGAGAATAATCATGAAAACTATTCTGGCAGACACTTCACTCTTCCAATGTTAATGGAAGCTATCTCTGGGTAATGAGATGACAGGTGATTTCTGCTTTCTTATGTAGATGTTTCCACATTTCATAAATCTCACAATAAGTATATATTTTATGTGGAGAATACATATCTTTAAAACAAAAGATACAGAAGAACTGGATGCATTGCTGGTGGGAATGCAAATGGCATAACCACTTTGTAAGAAACTGCTGAGCTATTTTCCAGTTAAGCATATGGTTACCACAAGATCCAACAATCCCACACCTAGGTATTCATCCAAGAAAAACAAAAGCCTTCCTTCTCACACATGAAAAACTGTACACAAATGTTTAAAGTAGCTTTTATACATTATGTTATATATAAACATAAATACATCTAACAATACATATTTTTTCCATGCAAACTGGAAATAACCCAGATACCTTTCCAAAGGTGAATGGGTAAACAAACTGGGGAACATTCATAGAACAGAGTACTACTTAGCAAATGAAAACAATGAACTACTGATACACCTGACAACATGGAAGAATCACAAATAAATTATGCTAAATTGGCTAGAGATTTAGTCAGTGGTGCTGCCGCCTGCATTGCAAGTGCAAGGTCCTGAGTTCAATCCCCGGTACAAAAAAAAAAAAAAATTATGCTAAATGAAAAGAAGCCACATGCTAAATTTACCTACTAGATGATTCTATGGATATGGAATTTTGAAAAAGACAAAATTACAGAATCAGAAAATTGATTAATAGTCCCAGGAATAGAAGGTCTAGGAAGAGGTTAACTACAATGGAGAAACACAAGTGAATTTGGGGGGTACCATTCTATATCTGGATTATGCTGGGGGTCACATGGCTATATGCATTTGCCCTTATTCACAGACCTCTATGCCAAAAAGTTAATTTTATTCATGTAAATTTTTTAAAGCTGAATGAAATCATAATTAATCCTCCAAAAGAGTATAATAACAATTCCTTTCCACCACCATGGTGCTGTAATTCCAGTATTCAGAAGACCAGGGGAGGAGATTCACATGTTTGAGATCAGCCTAAATTCCACTGTGAGTTTGAGGTTAGCCTAGACTACATAGTGAGACCCTGTCTCAAGAACAACAGCAGTAATAAAATAATAATAATTCTTTCCTCTATTAAAAAGCAGGCGACCATCTCGGGCTACTGCAGAAATACAAAAAAGAGCTGATCAAGAGGATTGTACATGGATCGTTGGGAATCATGCAGAAACAAAACATCTGAGAACCCATAAACAGTTTCACCGATTCTCTAGACATAGAAGCAGAGAACAAGACACCAAAAGTGATAAAATGAAAGAGACCCATGGTCCTTTGCAACGATGAATGTATCATAAAGGTTTTTTAGGTTTCTAGCACCCAAGATTAACTGTGGCTTAGATGTTAGACACAGAAGAAGGAAATGGAGTAGAGATGCCAGGAAGGTTTAGAGTGGCTCGTAGGAGTGAAAGAACTGGTAAAGACCAGTGTTCCGACAATTTTTTGGAGCTACTTGAGAACCTTAATCTCTGTCATGGTAGTTCCTTCCATCTAATTTCATGCAGGTTAAGGAAAGTGCACTAGAAAACACCCAGCCTAGCTTTATATACTTCTCACTCCTGCTCTGGGCCTCCTTCTACACCACAGTAAGAGACGCCCATCGGGAATCCACCAAGTATTCATGAATGTCCAAGCTAGAAGTTAGGGGCCAATACCACAATGTCACCTTTCACCAAAAAGAAACTGGACTCTATGGATAAGTCAGTCCCTTCACTCCCTTCTGCTCAGAACATCAGTTTTGACGTATGCTTTGAAAATCTCCTAGATCTAGTTCTTGAGACTAAGAAACAATCACCAGCAGTGGTAGCCAACTCAATAATTCATCCTGGTATTGATTAGCTCTCCTCCAGGCCCATTTCACACGTCCTGTCCTGAAAGCTCTGAACTCATATTACCGAAAGTCCATACCCACAACAAAACCTTCGTGTCAGGCTCTCGGGCTCCGCTTCCTAAGGCAGCCAAGCCAAGACAACCAGGCCTTGGAAAAGATCCAGGATAGGTCTGGGATTGTTGGGTGTAGGAATTTAGGGGCCGTGTCTGTGGCAGCAGATGACTCAGCTCCACCCAGCCTCCAGCCACTTCCCCGGCTAGCCTGGCTGGCTCAGCTTGGGCTGTATGTGTACTCCGAGTTCAAGGGCATAGGATTTAATGTCAACAGGATTACTTGGAGTGGGGACGGGGTGATTTCCAACAAGCATGCTGAGGCTGGAAATTGGGAATAATTTAGGGTAATTCTGTCATCTCCTTGGAAGGTACTTTTGGATTGTGTTCACTTAATGACATTTAGAAAAAATATATGTGTTGTGGCAGACTATGTCCTTTGGGCCTGAAGTGTAAGTCTCTTTGCTCTTAGATATCAGCCGCATTCTAGAGCCTGGTTAAAATGTTAAGCATAATTCAGATGTATTATAGGATTTTTCTGGAAGATTTTTCTGATACTTCAAATTTGGTACTTTGAACGTAGAAAGTTCATACTCTAACAACTGTTTAACTGGCAGCTTCATGTTGACTCACTATCTCATTTTGTCCCTCTCTAGGTTAATATCCAACACAGGTATAAAGCACTTGCCAGCTGTTCACAAGATTCAATCTCTTCAAAAGGTTTTACTGTAAGTTGTTCCTTGAGCATTGGGTCTATCAGCTTTCTGTCACTATAAAAATGTGCCTGAAATAATTAATTTATAAAGAGAAAAGGTTTATTTTCACGCAAGTTTTAGGGGTTTTAGTCCACGATTGGTTGGCCTGTTGCTTTGTGCTGTGGAAACACATTATGGTGGGAGGGAAACTGCTCACCTCACTGCCAGGAAATAAAAGAGAAAACAAGGAAGAAGCCAAGGTCCCACAGTCCCCTTCAGAGTCATGTCCCCATCGACCCGAAGACCTCCTACGGCCCCACCTTTTAAAGCTTCTGTCACTTTCCAACAGCACCAAGCTGGGGACCAAGCTTTTAACATTTGGGCTTTGAGGGTACACTCAGGCTCCGAACCTCAGCAAGCCATTACCATATCTCCCCAGTACTGTCTAGCCCAACAGCCTTCTGGCCTCTGACATGCAGTGAGCAGTCTCCGGTCTCCAAAGTGTTCCCTGGATGAGCATAAGGAGGAATGGAAGAAGCAAGGTCCTTAGTTTGACCTGCAGGCGGCCAGCCTCAGTCTGGAGGAAGTCAATAGGCTCCCCACAGAACAAGACTGTAGCAAAATCACAGCCTCTCTCTCTCCCCCTCTCCCTCTCTCTCCCTCTCTTTCTCTCTCTCCCCTTACTCCCTCCCTCTCTCTGGCTCCCTCCCTCTCTTCCTCTTCCTCTCTCACTAATTAATACTTTTTTACTGACTCCCTGCAACTTTCCTGAATCCCGTCAACCCTCCTCTTCCCCCAGAGTTCCTATGCTACCCTATGGATAAAGAGATTACCTGAAAAATTCATACTGAAGCATTAGTGACATGATGTGCTGTCCCTCTTCCCAAGGTACCCACAATTTGAGAGAAAGAGAAAAGGCAATGTATAATGGCAACCTTATGTCCAACAGTGAAATTATAAGACTATGGACAGACCCTAAAAGGACAGGGGAGAGAGAGAGAGAATTTGAGAACTTCTCAAATTGTTTCCAGCTGTTTACTAATTCTGCATTTAAATGTTAGAGCAGACCAAACAGGGAAGTTTGATGGAAGGATAAGGAATTCAAACAGTAAGGTAAGACTTTCTACCTCCTTTAATTCAGGAAGAGAAAAATTCAACAATAAAATTGTTCTGTGACCCAAGAATGTAGACAGAAGGAAGAAGGAGCTATAAGATGGAGAGTGAGCTGGGAGAAAGAAGGCCTGACCGAGGAGAACAGTGGAGGTGGGGTGGAGGTGACAGTCTTAGTGTGTTCATGTTAGACAGAGACCGAATGCGGAAGCAAGGATAACAAACAGCTGTGTTACTGAGAACCTTAAAATGGAGATTCTAGCTAAGAAAACTGCCGAGAGAGAGAAGACACTGCTTGGCTGTAGTCCCATCTTTAAGAACTCACTGATTGGGCCAGGGATTTAGCTCAGTGGTTCTGCTTCCTGCCTCCTGCCTCACCGGGGTAAGGACCCACGTTCAATCCCCGGTACCAAAAAAAAAAAAAAACTCACTTATTAAAGGTAAGTTTAAAAACATAAAGAAAAGTTTGTTTCCCACACTGTGAGCTCATTATCCTCTGAACAAAAACCACATTAAAATATTACCTCAGCTAAAAGTCACATCATGCCAGGTAAACCAAATGTGGGAAGTTTACATAAGCAAACACAAATATCTAATTTGTCTGTACTTTCTTCTAGAGACGTTCAAGATAACATAAACATCCACACAGTTGAAAGAAATTCTTTCATGGGGCTGAGTTTTGAAAGTGTGATTCTGTAAGTAAGGGGGGGGGGAATCCAGCAGAGTAACATTTGATTTTTCACTTAATGATCTCTTTCTCATAATAGGGTACTCTTTTCTGTCTGAGTAATTTTGGCATTTCACAATTTAAATCACTCTCTGGTTCTGTGTTTTTCCCTCATTTTTACATTTCAGCACCACAACATGGAGTGATGCTAATAATTTATGATTCTGTAGTGGGATTCAAGAATCGAAAATTGCTCTTTGAACGATGGTCTCCTGTGATCTAACGTCTGTTCAGAAGGACAGAATAACTCATGCATCAATAAAGCTAGTTACTGCCCGGCAAGCCTTCTGTTGCCCAAGGAAAAAGACCAAGGAGGCTGAGTGTGGAAGATAGGACTCTCCCCTCCTAACCATACTGAGTAGCTCCTGTTCAGGCCCATGCTGAGCATAAGACGACTTCTCATTTTCTTGGAATGATCACATTTTTTAAATGAGCTTGAGTTACTCCCTCTGACTTCTGGGCAAATTTTTTAATGCACTTTGCATTTTAAATGAACGACTTAATCTTCTGTGCTAGTAGTAAAGTGAACAGTTTACACCCTCCAGGATGGCCAAGGAACAGGTGCCACGGGCTACCTGAGTGTTGACGTGACCCATAAAAGTTAGATGCACAGCGTGATATTTGGGGAACTGGTAATTTCAATTACATCTTTCAGAAAAGCATTTTCTCTTTCATTTTACAAATTGCGGGGAGAGTTTTGGGTTTTTGTGGCATGATTCCTTATGTTGTTTTACATAACCCTGATTATGTATATTTAACCGAAAGCTACAAAAGTGTACACATCCTGTCTACTCTTCACTAGCTCCCCAGAATTTAGGAGCACACTTTTCAAGAAAGGATGGTTTGCTTTTAGGAGTCAACACTTTTCAAATACATCTCTAAAGGACACACTTGTGAGGATAACACCTAGTTTTCTTACCTTGGCTGTCCCTTAATCCATAGATAATAGAATGAGAAGAGTCATACTCAACACAGCCCTAAGTCTCCAGTTGTTCTTGGTGTGAGTGCTTCATCTAAGGCAGGATACTCTTTCCCAATGGGGAAAGCCAAGAGCACTCAGGAAAAAAGCACTGCAAAATGTTATGAGGCCTAGAGCTTTCTGTCCAGGAGCAGATTTCAAAATCTGAGGCCTATTCTAAAACTAAATAAGAACATATTGATATTTGTTAAATAGTCTAACAATGTAGGATTACCTGACACTTGGTTAGTGACTCAAGGAAAGAAGAATAAGGGCCCATTATGTAGAGGCCCTCGAGCCCTCCCTGCCCAGCAAGCAGAGCAGCGAGATAGGCACAGCACAGGGCTACAGCCAGCCAGATGAATGACCTAAGTGGGAAGACATGAAAGAAGTCGCATGGGTGACGGCTCCTGGGATGCTGTGACCTCAGGAGAGATTGCTGACGGTGCACTACCTGCCTCCCCTTCGAGGTCGGCCCCCATCTCACTTGCCAGGCTCAGTGGGCCAGGTCCCTGAACCCTCCTTCTTCAGGACAAGGAGTCCTGCTGAGGGAATCCACGATCTTGTCCCAGGCACACAGAGGCTTTGGGTAAATGCTGCTGCAGTGATTCCTCAGCTGATGCTCTGACCAGGCTGATGTTGCCCTCACCATCATCATCGGGTTTTTAAACAGGCATTGCCTAGGGCTGGGGGTTTAGCTCGGGGGTCCGCTGCCTGCCTCTCAAGGGCAAGGGCCCATGTTCGATTCCCAGTACCAAAAAAAAAAACAAAAAAAAAAAACAGGCATTGCCTGTCTTAGACTAGGAGTGTACTTTACAAACTGTTGACTGTCAAATGCATACAAGCAATAACTTTATAATTTATCTTTTAAATCAGTCTGTAGTTTACTTAATCATAGCAATACATGTTTCAGGATATATATATATGCAGGAAAGATCAATTATGTAGTCTATATCAAAATAGGTGGAGCCTCTGTGGATTTGTAAATTTGTAGATGAAAATTAAGGGTCAACCAACGACAGTCCACAGGCAAATCCAGCCTATATGCTACAACTGATCAGTTTTTACAAATGAACAAATATTCTAATGATAGGTAACACTAATAGTGAACCTAAATTAAGTGAAATGTTACCCTCCCCCCAAAAAATTCTACTAATTTCAACAACAGAACTATATTACAAAAGAAAAAGATGTTGTGCCCAATTATTGTGTTTTGAATTTTGTCAAAAAATTTTGTGAGGGGCCGGAGATTTAGCTCAGCTGTTCGGTGGCCTGCTTCTCAAGCACAAGGACCCAAGTTTGATCCCCTGTACAAAAACAAAAACAAAATTTTGTGAGAACGGGTTTATAAGAAGTAAATATCTTCAGTCTTGCCCCTTGGCCCATAAAACCTAAAATTTACCATGTGGCCCTTTATAGAAAAATTTTACTGTCCCCTGAGTTTGATCCAAAGCTCCCAGGGATGAATATCCCCCAGCTCAGAGGAAGTTGCCTCTGCATCTCTCACCACCCTGGGACAGGGTGACAAGGAAGCCAGCAGCTGTCTCTGGGAGAGACACCCCATGGGCAGATGGGAGTGAGCAGCTGAGTGGTCATTAACTTTGAAAAAGATTTATCTTCCTCCTCTCTGGACTTTTTTTTTTTTAAACTAATGGGCCATCAGGAGGAGAAAAGAAAGACATGCAGTTGTTCTCCTGGGATTTTAAGCATTTTCTAGCTATGCTGTGCAAGCCAGGAAAGTGACAGTGACCCCAACACAGAGGAGTGGCTCTGGGTCAGTTTTTGAACAGTGTCCCTTGTAACCCCTGAGCCTGCCAGGGAAAAGCACCTGACAGCAAAACAAGAACTTGCAGCGGTCAGGAGCCCCTTAGATTAAACTCTGCTGGCCTTGGATATCTGTTTTTGTTCTCAGGAGCAGAACAAGGTAGAGCTGCTGGCCCAAGGTGTGAGCAAACCTCCCCCAACCTTTCCACAACGAGCCCATCTCCCAGAGCTTCCCCATGCCCACGCACACCACCTCACCCAGCCACATCCTATGGTCCCTGTAATTGATTTCTCTTGCTTTCAGGCTTAACCCAGAGCCACCTCCACAAACCTGGAATAACCAGGGCCCTGTGGGACACAGGAGATGTTCAGGTTGTCTGACAACTTAATTAGATCAGTTTCTGATGACAGCCGCGTTGCTGCTGGGGGTGAGCATAGGTGAAAGGCTTGAGGCCTTAGACAAAGGTAACACGCAGTGCTCTTTCTCTGTCTTGGAAGCACTGCTTCAATAAATATACGATTTCTGTTCTATGGGACGGAAAAGATCTTCACCTGTTCCTCCCACAGCATCTTCTCTACGCGTAAGGGGATGTGTGCAAAAACCTTATAGTCACAGGATTCACACTGCTGCCTTAGTGTGCCTTCCTAAAATTAAATTTCATTTATTCCTCTTAATGTGAACCTCATTTACTCCTCTGAGTAGATAGTACGTGCACACAATACAAACTTCAAAAGTTACAAAAGGCTATTCAGTGATAAATTAGTCTCCCCCCACTGCCATCCCGAACTTTAAGGCTGGTGTTTTACTTATGCCACTAACCTGTGCTATCTGACCTTGCCCCAGTGCTTCCAATTATGAAATCCTTGTATTGTTTGCATCTGACATTATTGGTTTTTTAATGGTCCATTTATTTCAGATGGCTGAATAAAAATGGGATTGAAGAAATACACAACTGTGCATTCAATGGAACCCAGCTAGATGAACTGTAAGTAGCCCTGACTGTTCTTCGGGGCCATTTAGAGGGAAATGGCTCTTACAACAGCGGTATTTATGTAGCTTTGTGTTTCTCTTCTCCTTTCCTCAACTCCATCCCCAGGAATCTAAGTGATAATGGTAATTTGGAAGAACTACCCAATGATGTTTTCCAGGGAGCTTCTGGGCCAGTCATTCTGTGAGTAACTTCCCCTCCTTCCGTGTGAAAGAGCTGAGTTTGTGGAAGTTAGAAGTCAACTCTCTCCTGCTCAAAGAAGCTTCCAAGGCTGGGCTGGTAATCCAGATTGATTTTTATTCATGTCACCTACAGAGATGTATAGGGACAGTTTAAGGATGATCCGTAGCCTGACTTTCAATAAAATGTCAAGAAAAATACTAACATGTAATGAGCCCTCAACAAGTGTCAGACAGCATGCCAAGACGTTAAGATGCATCTTCCACTCGATCCTCATCATAACCCAGGTAGCAGAACTATTACTGCCACTTTAGAGGAGAAACCGAATTCTCTGGAGGGGTTAACTCACTCCATCGAGCTTGCACAAGTTTCACAGTGGGGTTTAAAGTTAAACTGGCCTGGCTGATGGTACCCATTGACCACTCTGCTGTATGTCTCTTCCTGGAAGGAAGAACGCATCTCCTTCCTTACCCTCAACACCCAGGAGACCTACCCACATATCCAACTCCCAGAGCCCCACAAGTTCATTATCTCTGGGAGCTGTTTCAGACCCCACGTGACGTGTTCGGTGCCTCCTCCTATTGGCAATTCCGCTCTCCTCCTTTCCTCCTAAAGCGTCTGTTCCCCTCTTCCCTTCTGATCCATGCTGCCTTTTCCATTGAGGGCCATTCTGAGTGCTGCTTCCTCTTCAAGTCTCTCTGACCACTTCAATTATTGGTGACTCTCGTGGATTAGGGTGTAGGGGAGGCTGCAGTTTTAAATGTGTTTTCCTGCACTTTAAACAAGACCTACTAGATTCCTGAAGAACAGGCTTCATGAAGAACGCAGACACACATAAGGGAGGAATGAGATGCAAGGAGCTGGTGGGCAAATGAATAGGCATGTAAATGAAGTTTGATCACATGATCCCATGTGTCCTGTTTAAGGTCAGTGGTGTCATCTAAGGCTACACATTATAGTTCTTAGCCAGTTGGCATGGGCTAGGTATTGCCCCCCCCACCTCTCTCTCCCTCTCTCCTACCTGCTTACTATCAGCATCACTTCTGTTTTCACCAAATGGCTCATACACTCTTGCAGGCCGGAGTCTATGTATCTCTAAAATTTTACCCTGTAATAGTTGAGTAGGAATTCCACAAATGTTTATTGATGATAACGGGTATGTGTGCCCCACACATGGGACTCACCCCCTTTGAGGAAAAACAAATGTGTTTTGAGGAAGATTTATCACCCCTGACCAAGTTCGAAGGATGCCTGGCCTGAGACAGGCAGCATAATGCCAAAAGACCTAGCACTGGGGTACCAGAGCAGACTGCCCCAGTTGAAAACCAGCCCCTGCTCCTCTCTAAGCCTCTTCCTTCACCCAGTAATGTCTATTTCCTTTTATTATCTGATTCTTAAAATTACATATACACATATGTGTGTCCGTACATTTTTCTCACTCCCTGAACAAATGTTAATCATCGGGTTCATGCTGTGTAGTACAGGGAACAATAGAAATTCTTCCCCGAAGAAAGCTAACATCCTCGGGGAGGGAGGGAACTCAGAATGGCTGCACATACAACTCACTGCACCAGATCGCAACACACAGAGTAGGCCACAGGCCTAACAATGGAGAGTACCAGGCATACAGTCCAAGTGTTTGAGAATTCTAATGATTTACACCTACATTGCTTACGTTTCCCTATCCACAGCATACGTGTGAAACAAATGGACTCTAACAAAGCACTTCTGATGCACTTTGATGACATGGCATTTCTTCAGGTCCACTCACCTCTAAGTCCTAGGAGTATCGGACATCCCTAAATAGGTGCCACTGTCTGCTCGGGCGAAGCCAGCATTTCCTATATATGTGGCCTGAGGGGGCCGTCCTGATTCAAAAGCAACTTAACCCACTGTCTGCTCCTGAAAATGTTTACATTGACCATGACCCCAGCTCATTCATTAGCCAGCGGAGGAAACCAAGGCCAAAGAGAGGACAGTGGTCCTTTAGAGATCAGGCCACAGCTGTAAGTGACAAAAAGCTTTGGCGAGGAGCTAGCCGGTCTGCCTCCACCTCACCATCTTGCCATGAATACATCTACTCAGATGTCTAAAAGTTAATCATTAAAGTACCCTAGAACTGATGGTGAAGTGAAAGCGTGGGGGGAATCATTATTAACGCCAGCCTCTTGGCCTAAGAACACAAGTCAGTGATATGTGAACACAGCACAGACTATGTCCTGAGGTGGCCTGAGCAGGTTCCAGACCAAGGTGCTGTACAACCTGTCTCGTCAGAATATTTCATAGAAAACACAAAATGCAAATCTCCCAGCCAGCACTGCTGTGGATACAGGCACACAGAGGGACATCACAACGGGAGCAGTCAGCTGGGTCCACAAGTAGCAGGTCCATCGCTCCATCCCCTTTAACACAGGAACAGACATGGGCAGAGTTAAGTGAATAAAAAATACAGAAAATCCAGTGGAATTAAGAAGCTTTGCTTATGACTTTAAAGACTGAGAATAATAAAACATTCTCAACTCTTTCATCTCAATGTATGAAGATAGATGTCCAAGACCCTGGCTGAAAGCCCAGTCCATAATTGCTAGCTTTCGTATCCTCCCCTCACTTTTCCATCAAGCTTCTCCTGGGACTGTCAGGCAAGTCCAAATGTCCTTCAGTCCTTTACACCTGTTGTCCAAGGATGCAGACAGAGGAATGGCTTAGTCCATGCCCTGCACCTCAGCTTCCCCAGCCCAAGGGCTGCTTGTGTTAAGTGTGCAGAAAACCAGCCCACCCTGGCTGCTAGGAGAGAATGTTTGTGTGACTGCTCAGCCCACAGAAGATGCTGCTCAAGGTAGGGTGATGGGTGTGCCTTGGGTCAGATCCCCCTCTTCACAAATAAGCCACAATCTAGGAGGTTTATTGAAGAGTCCTCAGTGTTTATGGGGAAGGTTTGGTGCAAGCAGAAATCTTGCTCAGAGGAAAATTGAGCTGTGACACATTTACAACAGAAGGTTCAGCTGATCCCTAAAAGGAGGGGCTTCTCTGGAGTGTAGATGGGTCTTATAATTGTACTGAATTAAAGAAGGGGCCAAGCTGCTAATGAAAGAGTCAGTGGGTAAATGTTGTCACTAGGAAGAAGCCAAATCTTGGTTAAGTCAGATCAGAAGAATTCGGAGTAAAACTCTGTTGTGAGCCACCTCTGTGGCTGTAAGTGGTTTACAACTGCCCCACAGCAGTGCTTCCAAATGTGGCTGTGCATCAAAATCACCTGGAAGTCTTTTTAAAGCTTAGAGCCAGGAATTTTTGATACTTCAGGTCAGGATTTGGGCCTAAGAATTGACATCTCTAACACCATCCTCTGTGGAACTGGTGCTGCTGGGTCCAGGGAGCACTCTGAAACTTGGGAAGCCTTGTCCAGTTTCCGGAAGAGCTCCTCCGTCAGCTGACTGGTGAATCCCTCTCCCCCACAGACTTATCCTTTGCCCCCAGCAGATACATAGAAGGGATGCTAAGGGGATTGGGAAGTACATCCAAACCGATGACAGCTCCTTCCCTAAAGGTAAAACTATTTGAGTAAAAACAGGAGCTTCTGGATCTGACAGTCCAGAGCCACCTGAAAATGTGAGAATGAGCTATTCCACTGCAAAGAGAAACGGGTGCAGAGAAACCAGGGGCATCAGACAAGCTCTGTGGAGTTCCAAGGGGGCAGACCAGCAGCCCCAGTCCCCCTCATGAGTCTTGACCTTGAACATCAACAGCCATCTAAGATTTCACCTGATATTCTGAACTTACTCAGGCTTTTTCTCAGCAATCAAGCAATTGCTATTTCCTTGGGAAACAGTTTCCTGCGGGGAAAATTTAATGCATTGCCTTTGCAGGCTGGAGCCAGCACAATCATATTCTGATGGTTTATCAAATTGATTTGGCTATAGCTCAGATTCATTTGATAGTTCAGATTCAAACACTGAGTTATTTGTATAAGAATGATTCTCTTCCATTACCAGTGTACCCACAGTCCTATAGATAGTAAATTGCCTTTTTATCCCGCCTGGGATCATGAAAGAGAGGTCTTCTAGCCATCTGTCAGTGTAGTATACACCAGAAATGTGCTCTCACTTATGGAAATGATTGACCTGTAATAACATCTTTTCTGGGAAAAATAGAAATTGTTCAAATCAAATTTGTGGCAGTGGCTATAACACACTTTATTAAACGGGGCACAGAGCGCTACTTAACTCCTGCCTTTCTTGACTCGGTGTCATTACCCACTGCTATCTCCCTTGCCACTCTAACTCAAAACCAAGAATACAAACAATGTTGAAACAATTTAGAATTACTAAATCTGTTCAGGACAAAGCCATCAGCCCACGGTGTCTGGGTTGGTACTTTTCAGGATTTAAATTCTCAAAACCACTCATTGCCAGAAGTCAGTGTGTGTTGAAAGGTTAACCAATGAGTTTGCCAATAAAAAGATCACAGTCATCAGACCTGACTAGTCTACAAGACACATATTAAGAACACCAGCCCATAATTGTCCCATCTCCTTTGTCATGCTAACTCCAGCAGCAAGGGCAGAAATAAAGAAACATCCTGAACTACTCATCGAGGGTATCAGAGTCCATGGCACATGCTGCGTAGATGTCGATGTTGATGACTGAGCACCTACTACACTTCTGGCTCTAGACGAGGTGAGAGAGGTAGAAATGCTTAGAAACAAATGAAACAATGCCAGTGCTACAGCATCTGATGGGAAAGATCAATGTGCCCCAGTACAAAAAGCACTGCAGGAATTTTCAGGGGAGGCTATCGCAACACACAGCAGATGCCCAGTGAATCCTCATCATCCGAGACATGGTGGCATCTGAGAGATAAAGTGACCACGTGAAAACTGAGTCTATTGCCCTAGGCCTGAATTTTTACAAAAGCCACTTCATTTTCTTTCTGCTTTGAATCCTTTTTCCTTCCAATTCACTTAGCAAGTATTTACTGAGCACCTACTATCTCCCAGTCTCAAGATT